TCAATGTACAAAAGTATAGCCCCTCTCACACAATCTTAGGGTAAGCATGCAGTCATAGCAAAAAGTACGTCCACTCTGAGTACTCACCACGGCTCGCTCTCTGCAACTGTCCAGTTAATACTAGCTGGCACAACTTTTAAGGCTTCCGATGCACGTATAGTAGCTACAAGTACCCCCACAATATTGGCTTTCAGGACGGTTTTATTTATATACGCAACAAATAACTTAATTTACAAGGCAAGTAGAACAGCGGAAACATCAGCCGCATGAAAAGCATCAGACATGATCACGTACGTACGTGTGTGAATGGTGTGTGTGTGAGAGACAAATGACAAATTACAGTGCGTGAACTTTGACCTTACTATTCACAGGCTGTCACGTCAAGACAGGGCGCTCTTCAATAATTTGGCTCCCTACGGAAGCCCGTTCGTTCCAGGTTTTAAAAGTAAAAAAAAACATTTTTATTGCGAAATAATGCAATAGCATTGCGAAATAACGCAATAGCATTGCGAAATAACGCAATATCATTGCGAAATAACGCAATAGAATTGCGAAATAACGCAATAGTTTTGCGAAATAACGCATATTACTATTGCGAAATGACGCAATACTATTAAGAAATAACGCAATAGTTTTTGTTAAATAAACCCACTGTTTTTTGAGAAAAAAATGCATGAGTCCGAATGATTGAACCTATAGGCCTACTTCGGCCTACTTTAGGCGTACTTATAGGTAAATTCTCACGTCATATTTTCTGACAGATCAAGTTTGTATGGTGTATAAAACCCCACCCTGCATGGCGGATCCTGGATTTGTAAAGGGGGTTAGCGGAGGACAAGTAATAAATAGGACCAAAGACCTAAAGCAGTGACTAGAAATTTCTAAGGGCAGGTAAGGGCATTTGAATGGAAAAAGGCAGTCTTTACAAAATATTGGGGGGGGGGGGTAAAAAACCCCTTAGTTCCAGTTCATGCAACTGTGGTGCAGGCATCATGGAGAAACACCCAGATCTCAAAGGGAGTAGGAGCCGGGGCGTGGCCCCTTGCCCCTTTAGTTACGCCACTCTAGACAATATGTCCGATTATATTTTCTATTTTCAATTTGTATTTACTGATAGTTATCAGCAAATTTTAGCGATTTTACAACTGAGAAGGTGTTACATGTATAATTATATTTATAATACGGCCATCCAGAGGTCCCAGGTTCGAATCCCGCTCCAGTAAATTTCGCCGTTCAACCTTAAAATCATTATAAAATGCATCTTGTCAGTATCCTGAGGTGCTTTCTTTGAATAAATTCAGTATATTTGGACTAGGAATTGATTTTACATCTGTGCACTGTTTAATATTATCTTGTTTTACAACCAATTACAGCAAAAATCTCTGTGAAAATCATCGAAAGGAACAGAGGGTTTGTTGTTATTGCTTAAATACAGTGATTAATTGTTGGGGAACAAGTATTGTCGAAACTGTTTGTAATTCTACAGCATCCCCGTTAAGCAACCAAGGTTAACAGTTGAAAACTGGCTCGTGCTGGATTTTTTTGTTTTTGTTTTAATCGATGTTGCATGTTAATTGAAAACCCTACATATAAACGGTAAATTAAATTAATGGATCCTGTCTTGAATTTATTTCTTCAAAAATGAGGCAATTATCAGACCTCAGCTGTGAGTGATCGGTGTGCGAAATATACAAATATTTGGGATGTTTTTGCGCGCGTTCTGGAAATAAAGTGCGTGCAATACAAACTCAGTTAGCCACGCGCGTGTACTAGTACAAACCGAACAGCACAGACAATTTCAAAGTAGTGCTTGCCAAAATTAAGCTCATAACTCTCGGAACGGGTCCCGGCCTTATAGTTCAGGGGTTGTTCTTGCAGGAACAACCAGCGAAGAAGGACAATGCTCGAAGGACTGGGAATTTATTTGTAAGCAGTGCTTTGAAATTGTGTAATGCTGCGCTGTTTCGCACCTGAAATTCTAATCGTAGGCTATTTATCTGGTGAAGCTCTACAGAATGGAATACTCAGAGGTAGTACATGTACATCAGTAGTAGTACTACACAAGCTAGTGCACCCACTCTCAGATTTGTATCCTTGTGGAGATATTCCTTTGTTCTCGTGTAGTAAAGTGTTCAATTTTGAAAGTGAAGTTTCAAAATGCTGTTATTTTAACCAGAATTAGTTTCCTTGGCTGAAATTTGGACTTAATATCCCTTTTCTAAAACTCTTCCATTTGCGACGGATCAACCCACCTTGGAAATTCCTATTTTTTGAGTAAAACCCATATATCTATTTCGTGAAAACCTTGTGGAGACCTATTCATCTATAGAAATTGCCCTGTGGAGACCTTTACAATGTTTTGTTCCCTATTGTGTGTGTGTCTCCACAAGGATAAAAATTTGTAGTCAGCCCGACTCACATCGGGGCTCTCAAAGCTCAAAGTCAAAATCCAAGCCGGTTCCTTTCATCCTCAGGGCGTAGATCTTGTCGAAGAGGGCGCTCTGTGCCACCGTGAAAGTGTTCTTCCAGTTGCCGACTTTTCCTGTTATTCGAATAAAATAAAAGGTGAAAAATATTGTTCAATCAATCAGAACACACGCCTGATGAAATGCTCCGTACAATATTTCATTGCGTAGGGAAATATTAAAAGATGGTTTTCTTGTCATCTGTCAACATTTCCTTTTCTTTCAGAATCATTAAGAGATGTCAAAGAGCCGAAGTTCTAATCATGGCAGAATCTTATAATACCTTACTGCTGGGTTGGGAATGTCCACTGTCATTTTTTTTGTGTCACTTGGGTAAAAGGAAAGGGTTGCAAGAAACAAAGCAACACGAAAGATATATAATTTGTTCTAAATTGAATAGTATATGAAAGATGGGGAAACACATAATAGGAATGGGGAACCATTAAAAAAAGTTTTTAAAAATCTGAAAATCAATGGAATATCACAACCACACCACACCTTTTCTAAGCCACGGAGTTACTCCTAGGAAACGCGTCATCAGTTTTCCCTCCTCCCCGTGTTCCTCCTCAATCTGTTGATAAGTCTTCTGCATCCCACCAAAGGTCACGCGTTCCACGATGTCATCGATGACGTCATCGGGTAGATCCTTCCCGACATGCTTTGCTAGTTTGCAAATGGAGCCCCTGAGGTCCTGAATAAAACAACGAATCAAAGTGACATTTTTGAAGCGTTTGCCTCAGCTACACATCTATAGTTCTGAATATATTTGCCATACGTTTTTCAGATAAATTCCAATAATCTCCACTGCAGTGTAAGGGTGAGTTTAATATTCGTGTGTACGAACTCATTATCTTGTGCACAATGGGCAATAATAACATAGTGATTATTGCATTTGTATGCGTAATAATCATAGTGGTGACATTGAAAGTGACAGCATTTCAACACTTGTTACAGCTGATTAACGCCCCCACTCCTTCATCAAAGTTGTATAAGGTTTTGTGGTTTAAGGTGGGTTTTTTTCGTAATAAATGGGTTGCTAACAATGCTTTTTGACTCAATGGGGTCGCCAAAACCTTTGTCTTAACAGGAATTTCGTACTGTCCGTTTTCGTCTTAAGCGATTTTTTACCATAGACATGTGCACAATTTTGCCGGGACCGAAGATATGTGTTTGTAAATTTGGAATTTCGTCCTAACCGTTTTCGCTATAACGGGAGACGACTGTACATTGAACAATTCTTTTGCTATGACGCAGAGCAGCAGGACACGATCAATGATTCTGAGATTTAAGTGGTCCGAGAGCATTGAAACAGTGACAGCGTCATTGATAATGACAACCAGCCGAGGACGATGGTGACATACACCAAGTATACGGCCTTCTGTACATCAGTGCAAGACGTACAGTCCGTGTTTCATCAATGAAGTCTCTCTTATACGAACCTTGTGGAGATCTTCGTACTTTATAAACAGAAAATTCTCCTTGTCCCGATGGTTCCAATAGCTGAGCACGTGATCAAACCAACATCCCAATACCACTGGAGATACATGGAGGAACAAACAAACAAACAAACAAATAAACAAACAAACCTAACAAACCAACAAACAATGGACAGAAAGTCAATACATTATTTGGAGACCTTTTTTTGCAGTCCACTTAAATATTATTGTTCAGTCAATATTTGAGAAAAATAGAATCCGCTTAAACAAAACTATAGGTCCCGGTTTCTGCCGTGAAAAAAAGAAAAGGAGGGAAGAAAAGAGAAAATGAGCTGGGGATAATAGCGATTTGTGTTATCTAATATCGGCACAGTTAACTTTGCTTTGCATTTAAACTTATACCTTTCCCTTGGACGAATCCGAAGAACATCTCATCAAAATCCAATTGTTCTGCCCCCATCAGGTTGTATAAAGAAACGAGCACGTCCTTCGGATTTCGGGCCACGTAAATTACCTGTACCGTACATTGTACAAATTAAACAAAACAAAATTATACAACGCCCGAGTAAATCCCCGTTATAGTAACAATGTAATTACCTATATGTCTGCCTGTCCGCAACAATCGCACATTAAAAAAATCTGCTGGGCCTGACACCCCAGCCCACCCCTGCAAAAAGTCCCTGGTGACTCAGACCAATCAGATAACAAGGTGTAGCATATTCGGTGACAGATGGACTATTCAATTCGCCTCGTGAAATGGAACATTCCACTGTCACTCATCTTCATGAAGTAATTCTTGCCGTTGCACTCGAAAAAAAGGTGTATTTGTGCATCAATAAACACAGAACATTACACATGGTAATCGTACAAGCCTACAAGGTAGAGGTTTGTGTGTGATGTCCTTCAATATGACGTGTACCTCGCTGCGGGAACGTTGTAATGATGCACGTAGACTCGTGCTGGTCTTTCAAACAGACAAAGAAGCGATGTTATTTGCCTCTGTCAGGATTTGTAATGTGAAAGGATGAGCTAACAGTTTTCTAAAAGCAAATATCAATGTCAAAATCGTCTGGGCGCCATGCTCTCCCCATGCAATGTATTAGGGTCAGCTGGCGGCTATTGACCAATCGACAGCCTTCGTTTTGTTTGTCACGAAATAGCGTCATCAGCAGTCAGGCATAAAATTTGAATATTTGTTTTACAATGAGTGAATGGTATACAAATATTGAGTGGCTCAGCGTGGAATGGGAGGAATATTATCGCAAGGTAAAATCTGGACTTTTCTTCGCCGAGTGAACTGGAAAAGTCCAGATTTAACCGAGCGATAATATTCCTCCCATTTCACAATTTAAAGCCACTCAATATTTGTTTTATATAACTGACATGTAGATCCTTGAAATGTGATATATTTGAACTTTTTTTTCAATACAAAACTGGAAGAAAATGTATTTCTCTCTTCCAAACCACCCCTTCACGAAAATGGTTGAACCCAACACTGTAGCGCTGGCCCTTTGGACCAATACGCGCTATGCGCAACGCTGAACGCGCACACCAGCATGCATTTGCACACAAACATCGCGTCATGATCCCAACTGTTGAATAGTATACAAATATTGAATGCTTCGAGTGGTGTAGTAAAACTAGGCTCCCGAGGTGATCCACGGACATTCTATTTTCCCGAGGCGAAAATAGAATGGTCCATGGATCACCGAGGGAGGCTAGTTTTACTTCACCACGAGATAAAGCATTCAATATTTGTTTTATAACACTTCACCCACAGATTCTGCTTGATTTTAATATTTTACATTATTTAAATCTGAACACAGTTGAAATAAACTTCAATTTTCAATACAAAATTGGTGGAAAATGTATTTCTCTCTTAAAAACTAACCCTTCACGAAATGTTTGAACCCAAGTCTGCGGCGCGCTCTCTTTGGAATAATACGCGCTACGCACAACGCGCAACGCGCACACCAGCATGCATTTGCACACAAATACCGCGCCGTGGAAATAGTACTTTGGTTGCTAATGGTATAGTACTTTGGTTGCTATGCGCAAAGTACTTTTGGCCGTGCACAGAAAGATAGCAAAATTAGAAAGTAACATGTGACTCGCTCTCGGCCAATCAAGACACAGAATCTGTGGGTGAGGTGTTAAAATATTTCCCATTCCCCATGGGCGGATAGTACTTTTTGAGCCGCGGCGTGAAAGTGAGCAATATCAAATGACACGTGATGTGAGTTCCACCAATCAAATGACTAGGATCTGTATGTCAGTTATATAATAGTGCTCATGCACGGGGCGAGGAGCTGATAGTTTCATTTTTCTTTTTTTACCTTTTTTCAATCCCTTTTTCTTCATTTTAATGATTAACTGACAAAGTGGGGGAAAAATACATTACCTTTCCATGCTTAGTAAAGATTTGGGGAGGAAGAAAGCTCTCCAAGCAGTTGCTTACGATGCACCGTGGCGATGCCATGGCTGCGTACAACTTGTACCCGGGGGTCACACCATCCAATTGAATCGGGTCATCTGTACTCGTGAATTCCAGCCCGTTGTTCATGAAAGTGCGGTCATAATCGCCCTTCCCATCGTGGAGGATATACTGCATTATTTCGCCTACCCAGTGAGTGCCTGTTTGTGGACAGATCTCATCCAATTAAAATTTGACTCCAGTTTGAATTACTATAAGTCGGTATGTCAAAAAGAAAAAGAAAAAGAATCAAATACGCGGGATCAACAATCCACCAATCACATTACAGGGATTTATACAGGCGTTGTATAACAGCCAATATATTTCTGGTAGGCGAAGAAAACTGAAATGAGCTTCCACTGAGCCATTGACATTTTAAAATTGTGTAGTTTCTATCGCAGTAGTTTTAGTAGTCATAGTTACAAGTTACATGTACTTGTTTCACTGTTATTACAATTGTAGAACTGTTCTTTATACCCAATTTTAAAGTCTTTGTCAAGCGCTTTGAGGCCTTGGCATAATGCGCTATATATTACGCATTCATGTTATTATTATACTACTTGATTGGGTTGCACTGCAACCATTAACCATTTCTTCCGCTGCCAAAAAAAACCCTATAGCTTCTGGCCCAATTTCGCTGCCCCACCTCCCGACCTAATTTCACACAAGACATGAGGATGTTATTGTTTCAAAAAGACTGCATTATATCTGCATTAATGGTATTTGTCGAGTGTGTCGGAGGGGACAAGCGGCCATTATGGGCTCCGTGCGCTGACGAAAGAGGGCACCCTTTTACCTAGCAACGACGTCCCATGGGCGGGACATTTCCAGGGGATTTGTACTATTGTACATAGTGGCCGCGCTTTGCGGCAAATGAATTGCAGTCAGGCAAGATGGCGTCGGTCGGTCACCCCAACTGTGCTCTCTTTGCCGGTGAGGGGGTACTTGTGAACGGAGCGGATAGTGTAGGCTCATCAATCCTCACCTGATCTTGGGTAGGTGAAGACGTAAACGTCGTCATCGCGCACTTCGAAAGTCTTCAGGGCTTCCAGATTGGATGGTTGTACGGCAGCCGGGAATTTGAACCCATTCACGACATGGCTGCCTTGCATCCTGTCAAAAGCCGCCAACTTCTCCTCCACTTGTTGGTGCGTCTTGCCGTTGACCAAGTCCGGCATCATCGCCTTGATTTGTTCGGCAAAGCTCATGGTGGCGGTTAGGCTAAGAACACTGTGCAAAACGGTTTGGCTGTGTCCCGAGTCTGCCTTGAACAAGTCTCCTGCTAATTGCACAAAAGACAGTACAGATTAGGCCCTGGACATAACAATTTAATGTCGTCTTGTGTGCCCTTATGAAGTGCAGAACCATAAATTGTAACCATCACTACAATCAATAAACCTTTATCAGCGTACGCCATCTTGAAAGTCAGGGCAAGACATTTAACGCCAACGACACCCGTCTGCTCAACAAATAGAAGGGTATCTCGAAGGCCTCTCGAAGCTGGTAAGTGAAAAAAAGAAATGTTTCACGTTCTCGCGCATACACCGAACTCGAATTTTCCTCTTATTTTTGGTCATGGGCTTATTAAGATGTGACCAACCTAGAATGTTGATTGGATTGCTGTTTTCGGGGAATTTGAGCTATCCAGTGATGTAGTGCCTTGATGCTGGGCCTTGGTCTTATGGCTGCCTTAAGACTGGACTTTAGGGCCTTGGCCTTGGCCTCGAGGCTTGAGGGCAAAAGCCTTGGCCTTGGCCTTGAGGGAATAGTGCCTTGCAATTTTGAGTCAAGGCTCTTCAAGGCCCATAGATTTTTGCATTTCCCATATAAATATGTTTGAAATTTTGCTGTTACCATTTTAATCGTGTTACCATGGAGGAGGGAAAAACCCTACAGATTTGTGTGTTGGGCACACTTTCACTTTTATAGCATCACATTTTGTTACCATTGTAGTACATTAATTTGCTGCAATAATTTTCTGTACACTTGTAGAACTAATGAGATAATCGATTAAATTGAATACAATTATGGAATAGATCTGTGACTGCTGATCATGCTCTGATTATACTGCCCTCAATAACTAATACTACGCTACTTTTTTTCTAACTGATGATCAATCTGATTGGTTGTATATATCTCCCTGATTAGCGCTCAAGATTTGCATGTATCTGTTTTAGGTAATGCTATATTTCTGACCATGTTGACCCAGCAAATTTAAATTCCCCAAATCAGTTTCTTGGATCCCACTTTTGTTACACTTGGGAGAATTGTGCGTCAGTATAGAAGTAAATCATTATTTTGTTTTAGTTAAACCATATTCATGAAGACCTGAACTTATACTTTAATATAGATTCAATGCAGTCATAAAACATTGTATGTGAGCATTTTGATCGCAATTAAAGACAAGTTGTTCTTCTTAATGAGCGATTCGTGATGATGTGTCATGTAATATAATTAGTTCTATATTAGTGGTCATTTTATAAAACAGGGCCTTGGCCTTGGCCTTGAGGGTTAAGCCTTGGCCTTAGCCTTAAGGCTTGAGGGTCAAAGCCTTGGCCTTGGCCTTGGCCTTGAGGGTCAAAGCCTTTGCTCCAACACTGGAGCTATCGATTCATTGATAAGAGTGTCAATCAGCTGTAACCTCATTCACCGCACACACTATTCATGCCACCATGTTTTGCGTTGTAAGCCTCGCTTTGATTTTCAAGATAGTTCAAAATATTGTGCAATGTTTCTCAGTAAATGTGACATTAAGTTGATTTTTTTTGTGACCCAAAAACTTTGAAGCTCGCGGTGATTCGGACGACAGCTCTCCTTTATAATTTACTGTGAACAATATCTGAAGAGGAAAGTTGTGGTTTTCGACCGAGTAAGGTTGTAGTGCTTGTACCAGCATCTTGCAACTCTCAGTAAATGTACGACATAAATCTGTAATTTGTGTGACCCAGAACTTTGAACTTCGGTGATCCTCGCGACAACTGAGCTTTGTACTGCATTGAAAAATAGATAACGGTGTAGATTGTGGTTTTCTACCGAGTTGTATCAGTTTCCTACAACTGTATCGAAGCACATTATTTATTTATTTGTTTATTTATTTCTTCTTTATACCGGGTGGCCCATTCAGTCCTTTTACCAGAACTTATCTCCCATGGGTCAAAGTAGGGGTTATAATACAACAAAACATGACTTGAACATTAACAGTGATAAAATCAAATTTTAAGTACAATGTATGTATATTCACATTGCACAGGATGAAACAAACGTTATTTTAAAACGGAGAGCATAAAAATTGCTTTAAAAAATGAACCTCACAATTAACGTGTGTGTCACATGCGAGTTAACTGTCACACTCCAAACTTTCCAGCATGAAAATAATAGCCTAATAGCCAACCACAATGCACTAGACATCAATATAATAAAAACTTTAACCATCTAAAACAAAGGTTTATAAAAAAAATTTTTTAAAATTAGAGTCTTCAGAATAAGAGCGAATGATAATTTTAACACCTGATTGGCCCCTCCCCCCAAAAATGTACTGGATCCGCCTTTGACTATACCCAAGATGAGAGGCCAAGGGATCAACGATAACAAACTACCTTATCAGATGTCACACACGCACACACACACACACCCGTTTACGTTACATATCTTGTGTGGACATTCCTTTGTTTTCGTGTAGTTAAGAAAACTCGGTGCAAAAAATAACTTTACTTAAACTGTGAAAACTCTTTTAACCCAATTTTTTTTCTATGATTCCCTATAGTGTTTCTCTTCATTTTGCTACGGATAAACCTAACCCAAAAATGCCTCTAAACCTGTTTTCCAGAAAGGGCAAAACCTTATGTGGACACGGCTTAGTCCACATAACGTTAACACAACCTACATTATGTGGACATCTCTTGTTCACAAGTCCACATAGGGAATGTAAGACAAACTCACCACCACCACCAAATGTAAAATGTGGAAAAGTTTTCCATGCACATTTATAGGCCTCCAATTTTTTCAATTAATTTCCAAGCACCAAAAATTGCATCCTTTATGGTGATTTCATCCACTTTCTCCTCCTCTTCTCTCACCCTCTCATTCCTATTTCTGAATTAGTCACTTCGAACCTCGGACTCTTGTTTGAAACACAACACTTTTACCACAAGGCCGTGCACGATCGCTGTTGCAATAATCAATCTTTGGACGCATTTAAAGTATCCATTGAATAATGAATATTAAATGAACTAAATATTGATGAGAAATGATATATTCACCCTTATGAAAATTCCCCCCAGTCACCACAGTGTGGAACTTCTGTGTGAACACAGTGTGATCACATAGTGTCCATACGGTGTATACCACTCAGTGGTCACACTGGGTTCTCTGTGTGCGACACTGTGAATTTGGAACAAATTCATAGTGTCATGACAGTGTGAACACAGAGTTTTCACAGTGTTCACACTGTGTGCACACCCATACTTGTTTCACATGACTAGTGTGGACTTTCATTGCTTTCGTGTAGTTAAGAAAAACCAGTGAAAAAACTCATTTTTCTCAAACTGTGAAAACTCTTTCAACCCAATTTTTTTTCTATGATTCCCTTTAGTGTTTCTCTTCATTCTGCTACAGATAAACCTAACCCAAAAATGCCTCTAAACCTGTTTTCCAGAAATGGGGAAACACTGTGTGGACGTGGGGTAAGTCCACACAACGTCGGTGCTACCTACATTATGTGGACGTCTTTTGTTCGGAAGTCCACACTGCGTATGTAAGACAAACTCACTATGTGACCATATAGAGATCACAGTGTCCACACTGTGTGACAATATAGAGATCACAGTGTCTGCACAGTGTGACCATATAGTGATCACAGTGTCTGCACAGTGTGACCATATAGTGATCACAGTGTCCGCACAGTGTGACCATATAGTGATCACAGTGTCCATACAGTGTGACCATAGTGTCCGCACAGGGTGGCCATATAGAGATCACAGTGTCCACACAGTGTGACCATATAGTGATCACAGTGTCTGCACAGTGTGACCATATAGTGATCACAGTGTCTGCACAGTGTGACCATATAGTGATCACAGTGTCCACACAGTGTGACCGCATAGAGATCACAGTGTCCGCACAGTGTGACCATATAGTGATCACAGTGTCCGCACAGGGTGACCATATAGTGATCACAGTGTCTGCACAGTGTGACCAAATAGTGATTACAGTGTCCGCACAGTGTGACCACATAGAGATCACAGTGTCCGCACAGTGTGACCATATAGTGATCACAGTGTCCCCACAGGGTGACCATATAGTGATCACAGTGTCTGCACAGTATGACCATGTAGTGATCACAGTGTCCACACAGTGTGACCATATAGTGATCACAGTGTCCACACAGTGTGACCACATAGAGATCACAGTGTCCGCACAGTGTGACCATATAGTGATCACAGTGTCCGCACAGGGTGACCATATAGTGATCACAGTGTCCGCACAGGGTGACCATATAGAGATCACAATTAAATACAGTTCACAACAGAAAGTTTCCATTATGCATGTTTCAAAGAAATATTTATTGCGTAAAATCTTGAACTTGGTTTAAATACATGTATAAATAATTGTAATGAACCATAAGGTACAGTGAATACTAACAGCACGCGATAGACTATAAACCACAGTTGGTTGTACCCAGCACAAAGACTCTGCAATAAAATGACTGAACTGTGCGAATATCCGAACTGTTTCTGGGTTCCCCCCCCCCCCATTTATTTTGGCTTTGTACAATAACTGACCGGAAAATCGCAAACGCAAAACCAACACCGACCCTACTGAAATGAACAACCTGACCCGACCGAAACTCGTTTTGGGGTTGCATTTGCAAAACATTAGTTTCGTTGCCATTAGTCATCGGTTTGGTGCTGAACAAGAACTATGCACTCATGCATTAACAAACTTTGACTAAATCAAGATCAAGAAAATGTGTTCTCCCCTAAATAAAGTATTCACTGAACTAAAACTTTATGAGATTGATTTTAAGTTCCAATCTTTAGATTCGTAAGCACTTCTGTTGCTTCAAATGAAACATTTGGCACAATATAGTGCTACATGCAGTAGGCTACTAGCACGAAAAATGACGAGAAATACATGTACATGTACTATGTCCGGATACTCTCACCATGGAGGAATAAAACCACCAAATTCACGACAGCTACATGTACATGTACATCTTAATACGCGATGGATATCGCACTGTACCCAGACTCCAGAGCATTTCAAATGACACGAACCCTTTCGAGGCACCCGTCTGTTGTGTGTGGTGCATATGGTGGTGCATATAGCCTACTGCGTGCGTGATTCTGTGTGTGTACATGTACAGTACGTGTACATGTGTCAATATTTTGTCTATCGTTTAGCGGAGAAATCGAATGAAATTAATCAGAAAAATGCTGCGAATTAAATCCAGGTTTGTTTAAGACACATCATAACTATAACAACGAAGTTTATTTGCAAAATCTTACCTGATATTTCAGTAAAACGACGGCGATTGCACGTTTCTGGAACACACATGACACACGCAGCAGTACTGTCATGGCGGTTGGCGAAGCAAGGTCAACGGTCGCCGGCGCCAGGCCTGGCGCGCGATTGTAAATTCAAAGAGCGTACTCTGATTGGCCAGCGCGTTACAACCTAGGATGCTGTTGCAAATTACGCGTCATATGATTGGTTAGCGGCACTGTTTTGGTATGCATGCACACAAACTCGCGGCTTTTGATAGATTTTTCTGTAAAAAGGCCACAAGTTATTATTTTTCCTGACACGATGTTTGCACTTCGAATTATTTCGATACAACATTCCACAACTGACAAAAATTTAATTAACCGTGAGGGTTACGCAATTTCAAGATGCATTAAAAACAAAGAATGTTTTTTTTTTTAATATAAACATTTTTCAATAAAGATCGAAAGATTCTGGTGCGACAGCAGCAATTCTGAACATAGAATTTTGTTTCAATGTAATTTAAAGTCACGGCGAGTCCACAGTGTGTTCACACAGTGGCGGTTTACAATGTGAAAATGTCACAGTGTTTTCACAGTGTTCTAGTCAGTGGACCAACACTGTGAAATTATCACGGTGAGTTCACAGCGTGTTCACACAGTGGTGGTTCACGGTGTGAACCTGTCACAGTGTGTTCACAATGTGTTTTCAATGTGGACCAACACCTTGACAAAATCACAATGAGTTCACAGTGTTTTCACACAGTGGCGGTTCACAGTGTGAACCTGTCACAGTGTGTTCACAGTGTGTTCTAAATGAGGACAAACACTGTGACAAAATCACAATGAGTTCACATTGTGTTCACACAGTGGCGATTCACAGTGTGAACCTGTCACAGTGTGTTCACAGTGTGTTCTCAATGTGGACCAACACTGTGACAAAATCACAAAGAGTCCACAGTGTGTTCACACAGTGGCGGTTCACAGTGTGAACCTGTCACGGTGTGTTCACAGTGTGTTCTAAATGTGGACCAACACTGTGACAAAATCACAATGAGTTCACAGTGTGTTCACACAGTGGCGATTCACAGTGTGAACCTGTCACAGTGTGTTCACAGTGTGTTCTCAATGTGGACCAACACTGTGACAAAATCACAAAGAGTCCACAGTGTGTGTGTGTTCACAGTGTGTTCTAAATGTGGACCAACACTGTGACAAAATCACAATGAGTTCACAGTGTGTTCACACAGTGGCGATTCACAGTGTGAACCTGTCACAGTGAGCTTGTCTTACATACGCAGTGTGGACTTCCGAACAAAAGACGTCCACATAATGTAGGTAGCAGCGACGAAGTGTGGACTTGCCCACGTCCACACAGTGTTTCCCCATTTCTGGAAAACAGGTTTAGAGGCATTTTTGGGTTAGGTTTATCTGTAGCAGAATGAAGAGAAACACTAAAGGGAATCATTGAAAAAAAATTGGGTTGTAAGAGTTTTCACAGTTTGAGAAAAATGAGTTTTTCCACTGGTGTTCCTTAACTACACGAAAAGAAAGGAAAGTCCACACTAGGTATGTGAAACAAGTCTGGGTGTGTTCACAGTGTGTTCTCAATGTGGACCAACACTGTGACAAAATAACGGTGAGTTCACAGTGTGTTCACACAGTGGCGGTTCACAGTGAGAACCTGTCACAGTGTGTTCACAGTGTGTTCTCAATGTGGACCAACACTGTGACAAAATAACGGTGAGTTCACAGTGTGTTCACACAGTGACGATTCACAGTGTGAACCTGTCACAGTGTGTTCACAGTGTGTTCTCAATTTTGACCAACACTGTGACAAAATCACGGTGAGTTCACAGTGTGTTCACACAGTGACGATTCACAGTGTGAACTTGTCACAGTGTTTTCACAGTGTGGTCTCTATGTGGATCAACACTGTGAATTCACAGTGTGTTCACACAGTGGCGATTCACAGTGTGAAAGGATCACTGTGTGTTCACAGTGTGTTCTCACAGTGGTCATAGTGTTCACACTATGACCACACTGAGACCACACTGTGGTGACACCGAGGCATTTTCATGACTTTTTAAAAGGAAAATAAAGTCCAAATTTCGTTACGTTCGAATTCATTTTTGTTTCTTCATGTTTTTGGAAAAGTAAAGTCCAAAACGCCATATAGCGTACACCCATACGCGGATGTCGTTTGGGAGAGAAAAAATCGCGGTCGGCTCATGGTTATCGATGTCATCATGTGTTATCGATGTCATCGCTAAAATTCCAACTTCAATCGCTATGGCCGGCTGTCTCCAACGTTAGTTCTGCAGGTGTGCATCCAAAAATGTGCTCTAAAGAAAAGACATTTCATAAAAAAATATATAGGCATTGCCGGAGGTTTCTGGATTCATCTTGGGTGAAATCACAAGGTGAGGTAAAAATGGATGTGTTTGGCGGCAGGTTAACAGGAGGCCAAGGACAACTTCCCAATGAGGCGGCAGCACTTTAATAACCAGCGAAGCTCTCACATGTACACATGTGTCAACCAAAACGCCCGCTCACACAATCAAACCACTGACAATCAGGACCCCTCTGCTCTGGCGAGGTTGCTCAATGTACAAAAGTATAGCCCCTCTCACACAATCTTAGGGTAAGCATGCAGTCATAGCAAAAAGTACGTCCACTCTGCTGAGTACTCACCACGGCTCGCTCTCTGCAACTGTCCAGTTAATACTAGCTGGCACAACTTTTAAGGCTTCCGATGCACGTATAGTAGCTACAAGTACCCCCACAATATTGGCTTTCAGGACGGTTTTCTTTATATACGCAACAAATAACTTAATTTACAAGGCAAGTAGAACAGCGGAAACATCAGCCGCATGAAAAGCATCAGACATGTTCACGTACGTACGTGTGTGCATGGTGTGTGTGATCAGTGAACAAATTACAGTGCGTGAACTTTGACCTTACTATTCACAGGCTGTCAAGACAGGGCGCTCTTCAATAATTTGGCTCCCTACGGAAGCCCGTTCGTTCCAGGTTTTAAAAGTGAAAAAAAAAAACATTTTTATTGCGAAATAACGCAATAGCATTGCGAAATAACGCAATAGTTTTGCGAAATAACGCATTACTATTGCGAAATGACGCAATACTATTGCGAAATAAACCCACTGTTTTTTGAGAAAAAATGCATGAGTCCGAATGATTGAACCAATAGGCCTACTTCGGCCTTCTTTAGGCGTACTTATAGGTAAATTCTCACGTCATATTTTCTGACAGATCAAGTTTTTATGGTGTATAAAACCCCACCCTGCATGGCGGATCCTGGATTTGTAAAGGGGGTTAGCGGAGGACAAGTAATAAATAGGACCAAAGACCTAAAGCAGCTAGTGACTAGAAATTGTAAGGGCAGGTAAGGGCATTTGAATGGAAAAATGGTAGTCTTTACAAAATATTGGGGGGGGGGGGGTAAAAACCCCCTTAGTTCCAGTTCATGCAACTGTGGTGCAGGCATCATAGAGAAACACCCAGATCTCAAAGGGAGTAGGAGCCGGGGCGTGGCCCCTTGCCCCTTTAGTTACGCCACTCTAGACAATAATGTCCGATTATATTTTCTATTTTCAACATGTATTTACTGATAGTTATCAGCAAATTTTAGCGATTTTACAACTGAGAATGTGTTACATGTGAAATTATATTTATAATACGGCCATCCAGAGGTCCCAGGTTCGAATCCCGCTCCAGTAAATTTCGCCGTTCAACCTTAAAATCATTATAAAATGCATCTTGTCAGTATCCAGAGGTGCTTTCTTTGAATAAATTCAGTATATTTGGACTAGGAATTGATTTTACATCTGTGCACTGTTTAATATTATCTTGTTTTACAACCAATTACAGCAAAAATCTCTGTGAAAATCATCGAAAGGAACAGAGGGTTTGTTGTTATTGCTTAAATACAGTGATTAATTGTTGGGGAACAAGTATTGTCGAAACTGTTTGTAATTCTACAGCACCCCGTTAAGCAACAAAGGTTAACTGTTGAAAACTGGCTCGCGCTGGATTTTTTGTTATTGTTTTAATCGATGTTGCATGTTAATTGAAAACCCTACATATAAACGGTAAATTAAATTAATGGATCCTGTCTTGAATTTATTTCTTCAAAAATGAGGCAATTATCAGACCTCAGCTGTGAGTGATCGGTGCGCGAAATATACAAATATTTGGGATGTTTTTGCGCGCGTTCTGGAAATAAAGTGCGTGCAATACAAACTCAGTTAGCCACGCGTGTACTAGTACAAACCGAACAGCACAGACAATTTCAAAGTAGTGCTTGCCAAAATTAAGCTCATAACTCTCGGAACGGGTCCCGGCCTTATAGTTCAGGGGTTGTTCTTGCAGGAACAACCAGCGAAGAAGGACAATGCTCGAAGGACTGGGAATTTAATTGTAAGCAGTGCTTTGAAATTGTGTAATGCTGCGCTGTTTCGCACCTGAAATTCTAATCGTAGGCTATTTATCTGGTGAAGCTCTACAGAATGGAATACACGGAGGTAGTACATGTACATCCAGTAGTACTACACAAGCTAGTGCAGCCCGACTCACATCGGGGCTCTCAAAGCTCAAAGTCAAAATCCAAGCCGGTTCCTTTCATCCTCAGGGCGTAGATCTTGTCGAAGAGGGCGCTCTGTGCCACCGTGAAAGTGTTCTTCCAGTTGCCGACTTTTCCTGTTATTGCAAATAAAATAAAAGGTGAAAAATATTGTTCAATCAATCAGAACACACGCCTGATGAAATGCTCCGTACAATATTTCATTGCGTAGGGAAATATTAAAAGATGGTTTTCTTGTCATCTGTCAACATTTCCTATTCTTTCAGAATCATTAAGAGATGTCAAAGAGCCGAAGTTCTAATCCTGGCAGAATCTTATAATACCTTACTGCTGGGTTGGGAATGTCCACTGTCATTTTTTTGTGTCACTTGGGTAAAAGGAAAGGGTTGCAAGAAACAAAGCAACACGAAAGATATATAATTTGTTCTAAATTGAATAGTATATGAAAGATGGGGAAACACATAATAGGAATGGGAAACCTTTAAAAAAAGTTTTTAAAAATCTGAAAATCAATGGAATATCACAACCACACCACACCTTTTCTAAGATACGGAGTTACTCCTAAGAAACGCGTCATCAGTTTTCCCTCCTCCCCGTGTTCCTCCTCAATCTGTTGATAAGTCTTCTGCATCCCACCAAAGGTCACGCGTTCCACGATGTCATCGATGACGTCATCGGGTAGATCCTTCCCGACATGCTTTGCTAGTTTGCAAATGGAGCCCCTGAGGTCCTGAATAAAACAACGAATCAAAGTGACATTTTTGAAGCGTTGGCCTCAGCTACACATCTATAGTTTTGAATATATTTGCCATACGTTTTTCAGATAAATTCCAATAATCTCCACTGCACTGTAAGGGTGAGTTTAATATTCGTGGTATGAACTCATTATCTTGTGCACAATGGGCAATAATAACACAGTGATTATTGCATTTGTATGCGTAATAATCATAGTGCTGACATTGAAAGTTTGTATGACATTGAAAATCATAGTGCTGACATTTGCATTTGTATGCGTAATAATCATAGTGCTGACATTGAAAGTGACAGCTTTTAAACACTTGTTACAGCTGATTAACGCCCCACTCCTCCATCAAAGTTGTATATGGTTTTGTGGTTTTAGGGGTTTTTTTCGTAATAAATTGGTTGCCAACAATGCTTTTTTACTCGATGGGGTCCCCTAAACCTTTCGTCTTAACAGGAATAACAGGAATTTCGTACTGTCCGTTTTCGTCTTAAGCGATTTTTCCCATAGACATGTGCACAATTTTGCCGGGACCGAAGATATGTGGTTGTAATAATCGGATTTCGTCCTAACCGTTTTCGCTATAACGGGAGACGACTTGTACATTGAACAATTCTTTTGCTATGACGCAGAGCAGCAGGACACGATAAATGATTCTGAGGTTTGATTGGTCCGAGAGCATTGAAACAGTGACAGCGTCATTGATAATGACAACCAGCCGAGGACGATGGTGACATGCACCAAGTATACGGCCTTCTGAACATCAGTGCAAGACGTACAGTCCGTGTTTCATCAATGAGGTCTCTCTTATACGAACCTTGTGGAGATCTTCGTACTTTATAAACAGAAAATTCTCCTTGTCCCGATGGTTCCAATAGCTGAGCACGTGATCAAACCAAGATCCCAATACCACTGGAGATACATGGAGGAACAAACAAACAAACAAGCAAATAAACAAACAACTCTAACAAACCAACAAACAATGGACAGAAAGTCAATACATTATTTGGAGACCTTTTTTGCAGTCCACTTAAATATTATTGTTCAGTCAATATTTGAGAAAAATAGAATCCGCTTCTTAAAACAAAACTATAGGTCCCGGTTTCTGCCGTGAAAAAAAGAAAAGGAAGGAAGAAAAGAGAAAATAAGCTGGGGATAATAGCGATTTGTGTTATCTAATATCGGCCACAGTTAACTTTGCTTTGCATTTAAACTTATACCTTTCCCTTGGACAAATCCGAAGAACATCTCATCAAAATCCAATTGTTCTGCCCCCAGCAGGTTGTATTCAGAAACGAGCACGTCCTTCGGATTTCGGGCCACGTAAATTACCTGTACCGTACATTGTACAAATTAAACAAAACAAAATTATACAACGCCCGAGTAAATCCCCGTCCTTTGATTGGTGGAGCGATGATTGTCATTGAATTATTCGTTCAACCCAAGGCCTGCCGCACCGCAACCGCCCCCCCCCCCCGAACACCCCCCCCCCCCCCCCCCCACCCCACCCCCAATTACAACAGTTATAGTAATAATGTAATTACCTATATGTCCGCCTGTCCACAACAATCGCACATTAAAACAATCTGCTGGGCCTGACACCCCAGCCCACCCCTGCAAAAAGTCCCTGGTGACTCAGACCAATCAGATAACAAGGTGTAGCATATTAAAAATTATAACACCTCACCCACAGATTCTGTGTCTTGATTGGCCGAGAGCGAGTCACATGTTACTTTCTAATTTTGCTATCTTTCTGTGCACGGTCAAAAGTACTATACCCATAGCAACCAAAGTACTATACCATTAGCAACCAAAGTACTATTTCCACGGCGCGGTATTTGTGTGCAAATGGATGCTGGTGTGCGCGTTGCGCGTTGTGCGTAGCGCGTATTGTTCCAAAGAGAGCGCGCCGCAGAGTTGGGTTCAAACATTTCGTGAAGGGGTAGTTTCAAAGAGAGAAATACATTTTCCACCAATTTTGTATTGAAATTGAAGTTTATTTCAACTGTGTTCAGATTTAAATAATGTAAAATATTAAAATCAAGCAGAATCTGTGGGTGAAGTGTTATAAAACAAATATTGAATGCTTTATCTCGTGGTGAAGTAAAACTAGCCTCCCTCGGTGATCCATGGACCATTCTATTTTCCTTCGGCTTCGCCTCGGAAAAATAGAATGGTCCATGGATCACCTCGGGAGGCTAGTTTTACTAAACCACTCGAAGCATTCAATATTTGTATATTATTAATCAACCTTTCACATTCGTGCAATGGAAAGACTAATTTCATTCGGTGACAGATGGACTGTTCCATTCGCCTCGTGAAATGGAACATTCCATCTGTCACTTCATGAAGTAATTCTTGCCGTTGCATTCGAAAAAAGGTGTATTGTGCACCAATTACACAGAACATTACGGTAATCGTACAAGCCTACAAGGTATATAGAGGTTTGTGTGTGATGTGCTTCAATATGACATGCACCTCGCTGCGGGAACGTTGTAATGATGCACGTAGACTCGTGCTGGTCTTTCAAACAGACAAAGAAGCGATGTTCTTTGCCTCTGTCAGGATTTATAATGTGAAAGGATGAGCTATTAAACAGTTTTCTAAAAGCAAATATCAATGTCAGAATCGTCTGGGCGCCATGCTCTCCCCATGCAATGCATTAGGGTCAGCTGGCGGCTATTGACCAATCGACAGCCTTCGTTTTGTTTGTCACGAAATAGCGTCATCAGCAGTCAGACATACAATTTCAATATTTGTTTTACAATGAGTGAATGGTAAACAAATATTGAGTGGCTCAGCGTGGAATGGGAGGAATTTTATCGCAAGGTAAAATCTGGACTTTTCTTCGCCGAGTGAACTGGAAAAGTCCAGATTTAACCGAGCGATGATATTCCTCCCATTTCACAATTTAAAGCCACTCAATATTTGTTTTATATAACTGACATGTAGATCCTTGAAATTTGATATATTTGAACTTTTTTTCAATACGAAACTGGAGGAAAATGTATTTCTCTCTTCCAAACCACCCCTTTACGAAAATAGTTGAACCCAACACTGTAGCGCTGGCCCTTTGGAACGATACGCGCTATGCGCAACGCTGAACGCGCACACCAGCATGCATTTGCACACAAACATCGCGTCATGATCCCAACTGTTCCCCCTTCCCCATGGGCGGATAGTACTTTTTGAGCCGCGGCGTGAAAGAGAGCAATAACGAATGACACGTGATGTGAGTTCCACCAATCAAATGACTAGGATCTGTATGTCAGTTATATAATAGTGCTCATGCACTGGGCGAGGAGCTGATAGTTGCATTTTTCTTTTTTTACCTTTTTTCAATCCCTTTTTCTTCATTTTAATGATTAACTGACAAGTGGGAAAAAATACATTACCTTTCCATGCTTAGTAAAGATTTGGGGAGGAAAAAAACTCTCCAAGCAGTGGCTTACGATGCACCGTGGCGATGCCATGGCTGCGTACGTCTTGTACCCGGGGGTCACACCCTCAAGTTGAATCGGGTCATCTGTAATCGTGAATTCCAGCCCGTTGGTCATGAAAGTGCGGTCATAATCGCCCTTCCCATCGTGGAGGATATACTGCATTATTTCGCCCAGCCAGTGAGTGCCTGTTTGTGGACAGATCTCATCCAATTAAAATTTGACTCCAGTCTGAATTAAGTCGGTATGTCAAAACGAAAAAGAAAAAAATGAAATACGCGGGATCAACAATCCATCAATCACATTACAGGGATTTATACAGGCGTTGTATAACAGCCAATATATTTCTGGTAGGCGAAGAAAACTGAAATGAGTTTCCACTGAGCCATTGACATTTTAAAATTGTGTAGTTTCTATCGCAGTAGTTTTAGTAGTCATATTACAAGTTACTTGTTTCACTTTTATTACAATTGTAGAATTGTTCCTTATACCCGGTTTTATAGTCTTTGTCAAGCGCTTTGAGGCCTTGGCATAATGCGCTATACATTATGCATTCATGTTATTATTATTATACTTAATTGGGTGCCACTGCAACAATAACCATTTCTTCCGCTGCCCCCCAAAAAACTATAGCTTCTGGCCCAATTTCGCCCACCCCCCCCCCCCGACCTAACTTCACGCAAGACACGATGATGTTATTGTTTCAAAAAGACTGCATCTGCATTAATGGTATTTGTCGAGTGTGTCGGAGGGGACAGGTGACCATTATGGGCTCCGTGCGCTGACGAAAGAGGGCACCCTTTTACCTAGCAACGACGTCCCATGGTTGCAGTGGGACATTAAGCTGGTTGACGCGCACCGTTCCTTGTGTGTGACGCACGTACACCAGGGGAGTTTTACTATGTACACGCAGTGGCCGCGCTTGCGAATTGCAGTCAGGCAAGATGGCGTCGGTCGGTCACCCCAACTGTACTCTCTTTGCCGGTGAAGGGGTACTTTTGAACGGAGCGGATAGTGTAGGCTCATCAATCCTCACCTGATCTTGGGTAGGTGAAGACGTAAACGTCGTCATCGCGCACTTCAAAGGTCTTCAGGGCTTCCAGATTGGATGGTTGTACGGAAGCCGGGAATTTGATCCCGTTCACGACATGGCTGCCGAGCTTCCTGTCCAAAGCCGCCAACTTCTCCTCCACTTGTTGGTGCGTCTTGCCGTTGACCAAGTCCGGCATCATCGCCTGGATTTGTTCGGCAAAGCTCATGGTGGCGTTTAGCTATAAGAACACTCTACACAACGGTTTGGCTGTGTCCCGAGCCGGTCAGCCTGTTGAACAAGTCTCCTGCAAATTGCACATAGCACAGTACAGATTAGGCCCTGGACATAACAATTTAATGTCGTCTTGTGTGCCCTTATGAAGTGCAGAACCATATATTGTAACCATCACCACAATCAATAAACCTTTATCAGGGTACGCCATCTTGAAAATCAGGGCAAGGCATATAACGCCAACGACATCCGTCTGCTCAACAAATAGAAGGGTATTTCGAAGGGTATCTCGAAGCTGGTAAGTGAAAAAAAAGAAATGTTTCACGTTCTCGCGCATACACCGAACTCAAATTTTCCTCTTATTTTTGGTCATGGGCTTAATAAGATGTGACCAACCTCGAATGTTGATTGATTTTGCTGTTTTCGGGGAATTTGAGCTATCCAGTGATGTAGTGCCTTGATGCTTGGCCTTGGCCTTATGGCTGCCTTAAGACTGGACTTTAGTGCCTTGGCCTTGGCCTCGAGGCTTGAGGGCAAAAGCCTTGGCCTTGGCCTTGAGGGATCAGTGCCTTGCAATTTTGAGTCAAGGCTCTTCAAGGCCCATAGATTTTTGCATTTCCCATATAAATATGTTTGTAATTTTGCTGTTACCATTTTAATCGTGTTACCATGGAGGAGGGAAACACCTTACAGATTTGTGTGTTGGGCACACTTTCACTTTTATAGCATCACATTTTGTTACCATTGTAGTACATTAATTTGCTGCAATAATTTTCTGTACACTTGAAGAGCTAATGAGATAATCGATTAAATTGAATACAATTATGGAATAGATCTGTGACTGCTGATCATGCTCTGATTATACTGCCCTCAATAACTAATACTACGCTACTTTTTTTCTAACTGATGATCAATCTGATTGGTTGTATATATCTCCCTGATAAGCGCTAAAGATTTGCATGTATCTGTTTTAGGTAATGCTATATTTCTGACCATGTTGGCCCAGCAAATTTAAATTCCCCAAATCAGTTTCTTGGATCCCCCTTTTGTTACACTCGGGAGAATTGTGCGTCAGTATAGAAGTAAATCATTATTTTTTTTTAGTTTTTGTATGTGAGCATTTTGATTGCAATTAAAGACAAGTTGTTCTTCTTAATGAGCGATTCGTGATAATGTGTCGTGTAATATAATTAGTTCTATATTAGTGGTCATTTTATAAAACAGGGCCTTTGCCTTGGCCTTGAGGGTTAAGCCTTGGCCTTAGCCTTAAGGCTTGAGGGTCAAAGCTTTGGCCTTGGCCTTGGCCTTGAGGGTCAAAGCCTTTGCTCCAACACTGGAGCTATCGATTCATTTATAAGAGTGTCAATCAGCTGTAACCCCGTTCACCGCACACACTATTCATGCCACCATATTTTGCGTTGTATGCCTCGCTTTGATTTTCAAGATAGTTCAAAATATTGTGCACTATTTCTCAGTAAATGTAAGACATTAAGTTTATTTTTTTGTGGCCAAAAAACTTTGAACCTCGCGGTGATTCGGGCGACAGCTCTCCTTTATAATCTACTGTGAACAATATCTGGCGAGGAAAGTTGTGGTTTCGACCGAGTAACGCTGTAGTACTTGTACCAGCATCTTGCAACTCTCAGAAAATGTACATTAGGCCAAAAAAAGAAGAAAATATTCGGTCTCTGGTCTACGGAGCTTCTAAAGGGACATAGTGTGAAACAAAAATTGAAAAATCATCATAAGAATGAAAAAAAAATCTGCGTTCGAACGAAAAAAATCTGCGTTCGAACAAAAAAAATCTGCGTTCGAACGAAAAAAACTCTGCGTTCGAACGAAAAAAAATCTGCGTTCGAACGAAAAAAATCTTCGTTCGAACGAAAAAAAATTTCGTTTGAACGAAAAAAATCTGCGTTCGAACGAAAAAAATCTGCGTTCGAACGAAAAAATCTTTCGAACGAAAAAACTCTTCGTTCGAACGAAAAAAATCTGCGTTCGAACGAAAAAAATCTGCGTTCGAACGAAAAAAATCTGCGTTCGAACGAAAAAAAATCTGCGTTCGAACGAAAAAAATCTGCGTTCGAACGAAAAAAATCTTCGTTCGAACGAAAAAAATCTGCGTTCGAACGAAAAAAATCTGCGTTCGAACGAAAAAAATCTTCGTTCGAAGGAAAAAAATCTTCGTTCGAACGAAAAAAAGTCTGCGTTCGAACGAAAAAAATCTGCGTTCGAACGAAAAAAATCTGCGTTCGAACGAAAGAAATCTGCGTTCCAACGAAAAAAATCTGCGTTCGAACGAAAAAAATCTGCGTTCGAACGAAAAAAATCTGCATTCGAACGAAAAAGCTGTTTGCTGTTTGCTGTAAGCTGTTTGCCCTCCCTGTGCTGCCCCACCACTTATGTGGTCGATTTGGTCATGTTTTTTCAGGTCCAACATGCATGACATATGTGCCCAATGTAGGTCCGTGGCCCAAGTACAGGAATTTGGTCTTAAAGCAATCTGTGAGCTTTCAAACGGTCATACTAGGGCTTGCTGTTAGTTGGTCATGACGTTTGACCATTGCAATGAAGATCTAGCTAATTGTCCTTCTTTTTTTAAGAGTCCCTATCCTGTTACAATACTAGCTACAACACAACCCCCCCCCACCCCATCAGTCCCACCCATTATGCTATGCTGAGGCAACACACTTATGAGACATTTTAAAAAGTAATTTGCCTTTTTGTTTTCTTTTTATAAAGTGAGGCAAGTTTAAAAAAAAATAATTAAAAAAGGCTATATAATTATCTTTCAAATTTTTCAGGTAAAAAAATATAACTGGTCATTGTGATTTTCAAAAATTTGTCTATCAACAAATCCTTTACAGTATAAATTTCATTCCTAATCCTTGTAATAGTTCCAAACTTTAGAAGCGACTGACATGTATATATTGTTTGATCATTTATGGCTTTCAATAAGCCTATTTTACTAGTCTAACACTTGTACATGTACATGTACTTTCTGCTTCCTCACTTTCAGATACGGGATTCACTAATTAGCTGATTCCTACTCATACTCATAGCAAATGACAAACATGTCGGGCTATTCTGATAGCCATGGCTAGCCCGACATGTTTTTTGGTGGCCCATGGATAACCAGTTAAATGTGGAGAAACTGTTGCACTTACAAGAGCATGATATGAGTCACATCATGATTGATACGTTTTACATGTTTGGTACAACAGTTTTCAGGGCAAAGAATGTTTTGACCATTGATCTCCATATACACAGACTGGATAGGACATCGCGTACGAACGTGCGTCCGCGCGCGCGTTTTTTGAAAAGGGTAAAGAACACAATTTCGCATTCGAGTTGTGTACACTTTCGAACGGAGGATTAAAAAATGAAGTTGTTTTTTTTTCGGTTTCTTTGTCATTTTTGAAAAATAAAAGAAACAGAGATCTAAATTGATCAAAATCGACGAGGAGTAGGCCTATAGTCAAGGGTGTGCGCAGCATTAGATTGCTGGAGTCGGGAAGTAAGGAGCGTTGAAGAATAGGACAATTATTCGCAAGTAAGTTGTTTTTTAACGAGGCCTATAGTATACAACATGGCATGGAGGAATATGAACATGGGAATGACAAAGCAAATGATAATATCGTTAATGTTGTCGCTCTGAGTTTGAGGGGAAGGAGGCCTGTGTCTAGCGAGATATTCTGTTCAAATTCCATGCGATCTAGGCCTGTCATGCTGGTCGCCATCCATGTTCTTTTTAAAGACATATCGTACGTGCATGACTGACCCGGCAATGGCAATGAACAAAAGTTGACTTGTTTAAAATAGTTTATTCGAATAACTTTTATAACTTTTATATGCAAAATCTGATTGAATTATGTCTGCCTTGGCTTTAGCTCTACTGAGTGGAGCGCTGGAACTTCGGTACCCTCCGTACAAGCTTGTACGGAGGGTACCGAAGTTCCAGCGCTCCACTCAGTATAGAGCTACCTTGGCTTAACGCCTACCGAAATGTTTCTATTATTTTCTTTATAAAGAGAAACCGAGGAGATGGTTTATGGTAACTTACTGCACAACTGGCCGATTGACCTTCATATCAAACAAAGAACTTCAGAAAAGCCACAGCAAAAACCACCAGCTGCAGGACCGAGCCGGACGAAAATGGAGAACTTCACGGAGGGATGGAATCGACTGTATCATCCACTGAATGGAACTTGCGATGTGATAGGCATCTGAGCGTTTGACTTAATCAATTCTTACGATGTGGAACTGTTAACATTGATTGATTTTGTTTTTTGAAAGAAGCTGTGGAGTTCAACGCAAGTATTTTTATGAGCTCCAAGATGACTGTCACATTATTGACAGTTTGTATGATGAGGAAAGCAATGAGTACTTTTACGGTTTGAAATTATGTTGTGTACGCCGTTATATAAGATTACTAGCTATACTATAGCCATATACACCGTCATATTCGCTCACAAAAACGATTTCCACTACACTTACAAGTAATTTTATTAATTTAGTACTAATTTTCTCGTGTGAGTGTTCAGTTTAAAAAATGTGATGTCATTTCAGCATAAATTATTACTAATACAATAATTCGTACTTAAGTAAGTTTCCACAGGGAGAAATGGCTTTAAGGGAAATAAATAAGTTATCAGGAGAATCCCTGTACAAGGTCAAGAACATCATAAAGTGTATCGAAACCTTTTAGATTGTAATTGGTTTATGTTCAGGTTTTTAATAAATATATCAATCATTTGAATGAATCTTCATACAATTTCTCGTGTGAGTGTTCAGTTAAAAAAAAAATATATGATGTCATTTCAGCATATTATTAATACAACTATTTATTTCGTTGATGGAGTAATTCAGTGTGCTCTAATGACCAATGTGCCAAAAATGAAATGGCAATTTACTTACAATCATTTTTGGGAGGAGAAGGGATTTAAAAAAAATATGGGAAAAGGAAATGGGGGTTCTTGAATTTCGAAAATGCATAATAAGAAAGTGTATATCAAGAAAGTGTGGAAAAGCTGTTTGGAGGGTAACTCTTCATCGTTCAGTTATTTTTATTAA